AAGCAATCAAGAGGGAGAAAGAGACTGGATGATCTGTGAATAAGTATCGGGTAAAGATTCGGTATCGTTTTGTCTATTAAGGCCTTGTTTCTGTCTTTTAATATGAATCATTTCAGATACCAATCTCTTATTGTAAGAAGATTCGCAGTCCAAAATTCTCACATCGTTCCATTTGAAATTATGATCAAAATTGATTCGATGATCAGTTATGACAGTAGGAGAACCTGTATTCTTTTTGATGTCAGAGATATGTTTGTGTAGTCTCGTGCTCAATTTTCTCTTTGTCTGACCAACATAACTCGCCTCACAATCATCACATGAGATCTTGTAGACAACATTCTGACTGGATAGGAAGTTAAGTCTTTTCCTCTCTTTATGAAGCTTTTTAACGTGTTGGGAATAGAAAAGGCCAATTTACAATGAAACATACATATACAATGCATGTTGGCGATTTACTCTTTTTTCTTATGTGCTTGTCTTATAATATCAAAGATAATTTTTGCCTCTTTCTTTAAATTTGACTTATTATTTACGACTTATTTGTACTTTCCTTTTTACTGTTTGCGACTCGATTTGTACTTGTCTTATTATTCTTATTATTTTTATTTTTATTTACTTCTACCGTTAATTTATTATTACAATTTATACTTGCTAACAGAAACATGTTCGTCCTTATACACACATACGGTTCGGAGGAGCACATTTTTGTCAACTATAATCGTTTGTTTGATTTCCTCTCAATTTGGAGCGAGTTTTATAGTTAATTTGCTATTGTTAATTACCGTTGTTAATTTACTTTGTCACACTAATTTATTTGAAATCACATTGAAAATGATCCAACTAGGATCGAAACGTTTGTTCACCTTCTGATTGTCAAATTATATTTTACGTTTTTAATTTATGACATAGTTTTATTTCAAAAAAATTTGTTTAACTACTCATACAGTTTGTCAATTTATGTTTTAGGCTCGTAGCCCTTTTTCCTTTTTACTTATTTTGATTTATTGAGCCTTATTATTTTATAAATAAATTAATATCTCGTTAACTATTGCGTAAACTGCAAAATGGCAAAAGATGACTTTTCGACTCAGTTTTCGATTAACTCTACCTGCTCATGATGGGTGACGAAATGTATTAAAATCACCCTATAAGAAATCACAAGTGTACAATAAAATTAAATAATGGTGAAGGCAACAGAAAATTAAGAATTTATTTTTTAAATTTTCTCATCAAATTTTAATCCACGTAAAGCATATTTCATATTTTTGGCGAATATGAATCAACTCAAAGGAATTCTCAAAGTGATTCGACCACAGACTTGTAAAAAGTCTGGATTCAACCTTGGCAATTGGCAATATTGGCATACCTCTGCTCCTTTCGAATGCGACACATCGAATGTTACTAGACTGGAACACGTGGCATCACTGACAGTCATTGCAGTAGTGGCTGGGTGGCCGACGGGGAAGAGGGACTACGGAGACGACGCAGAACTATATTTATTTTGGTTTGGAAATTAGTCCGCAGGAGCCGTGTACGGCTGTGCGCGCGTGTATGTGTGTGTGTGTGTGTGCGTTTGAGCGCGTATCGTCGGGCCGTGCGTTTTGCACCGATTCGGGTGGTCAAATTTCAAAGTGCTTGCTTATCGGAGATCAAGAACTGAGAAAAAAAAAATGACCCGTAAGTCCAGCCGAAACGTCACCGAGATCGGGTGTCGCATTACCTGATCGCGCCGCAACAATTCGACGAGAGAGAAAGAAAGAGGGGACGATGACGGGCGCGAGTTTTTGGCTCGTTTTTGCCTCTTCCGCGAGGCTGCCATTGTCGTTAATGTTAAAAATAAGGTCGCTGCGTAACGATCAGTAACGATTGTGGGTGACCGCGTGCGCTCTCGGCTCTCGGCTCTCGACTCTCGCAGAGATTTGTCAGTTGTCACACGCGTGAACAAACGTGAAACATCGCGAAACGTCGCGAAACGTCACGTCGGTGACTCGTCGAGGAAGAAAGGAGCACACCGCCGTGGCAGACGATGCGCTCCGAGTATCCTCGAGAATTCTCGTTCTACAGGCTGTTTACGAAGGAAAGGTCAATATTTTTGATGATGACGATAGCGCCGATTAAATAAAAGAAAGAGAAAAATGAGGGTCTCTACGAATGTGTTTCGCGAGTCTCGAAACGATTTCGCGTGATTGAGAAAATCGAACGTAGTTCAACGTGTAGCCTTACTTTTCGGAATTACGCGATGAATTTACGCTTCTCGCTTTCGGTAAACCTCGCTTGTTAACCTCGACAACATACAGAAACGTTATGATGGCGCGCTTTCACGCTGCGAGCGCACCAAGTCGACAAATTTTTTTTCCTCTCTACGATGGATTTTCGTCAATTTTGACAGCGTTCGATTTCGTTCCGAAAGAGTAAATATGGTGGAAAAATATTCGCTTTATGGCGAATAGCGTCACATTTTACTCGTCGCCATTTTGTATATACGCAGGGCCGTCGCAAGCGAAAGTCGATTCTGTATCTTGGAAAATGGATTAAAATTTTTAATTCATGCGAATGTGTGTGTGTGTGTGTGTATGTGTGTGTGTGTGTGTGTGTGTGTGTGTGCGTGCAGATGGAAAAACTTTTCTGGATTTAATTGGATTTAATTGAATTGAAGAACTGCATTTCCTATTCAAAATTTTGAATTAGAGAAAGGACTTTATGCAATTCCTATAAATGAACAAAGAGATTATTTACATTAAGCATTACATTAAGCATTGAAATGGATTTAGATTTTTAGAAATACGCATTCGCGAACGTTGAAATAAATCTTTTTCAATTCATTTTAATTGTTTTGCTTTGGTAAAATGTGAAAACAAAAATGAACGAATTTACTAGAATATTTATAATTTTATTGGCCAACTTAGTAAATTTATTTACTAGGTTGTAATTCTCACTTTGTTTCAAGATACAAAATCAATCCTCAAGCATTTTATGCCCTGCATAAAGGGATATTAACAAGAGAAGCGCCAAATTAAGTTTTAATCCTCTGTTTGCAATCTGATTCTTTTTATGCAGCCTATTTTTACTGTTCTAAATTTTAAAAAATGTGCGAAAATTTCAGTTATTTTTCAAGATATTTTAGAGAGGGGAAAAATCGAACTCCGCCCTCCTTTATTTTGGAAAAGGAGAGTGAAATTGAACTAAAAAAGACTCAGATTGCAAGAGAAGGATTAAAAATCAATTCCCCACTTCTAACATCAATTACGTGTGCACGCTTTTCTGTTAAATTTAATTTCTTCCGAAACGTGTGTATTAATTTAGAGAAAAATCTAATCATAAAATCATCAAAATCATCGATTTGAATAGATAATTATATATTTGTTGAGGCTATTAAAATTTTTCGATACATGTAATATACATACTTGCAAAACTATTTAAGATCATCAAGAACACCAATAATTTTTCTAGAGCAAAAATATGCAAAATTTCTCTGTTAATATCAATGATAGAAACGTTCACTTTTTACATTCCGTTCTAGGATAAAAATGACATGATCCAATTGCACGTTTTCTTAAGATATAAAAAAAAACGATTCAAAACCATCTTATTTAAAAAATTGATAAATAAAAATTAAGAAGATCAACAAATCTCCTTTGCACAAAGGCGCCTTATGTACTAACGACGGCCCTGTGTATGCGTGATATCGTTTAAGGAGTAGGATTTAGATTATAAAGTTATCGGAGCAATTGTATGACATTGTCGTAAATCACCACCTTTTGCAGTCACCCTTTAATAATTACGAACGTGAACGTTGCGTGCGCCATTGCAGTTATATTATCGGTCAAAGGAACACGATTTTGACTTGCTTGCGCACGCATAAACAGCGCTCTTTTTAAGAGCACTTCGTTCGAGTTGAATAAATGGAAATGAAAATAGAGACCGAAAAATTGCGGAATAAAATTAAATAAAAGTTATAATTAAAACTTCATTCGATTCCTAAAAAAAAAACCTGATTATGTTGCAGGTGGAAATCAACGTGAACTAGCACGAGCCAAGAATTTGAAAAAAACCGTAAAGAAGGCAGCGTCGGAACAAGACAGCAATAAAGGTCTTTCCTTAGAACAACGTAAAGCACGGTATGTCTTCTGAGTACATCTTTTCCTCTTTCTATTCGTGAAAATTGATAGGCTTACTTAGAAATAATAATGGATGTTACAAGCTGGATGTTTATTGCTAAAATTTATATTATTGTAATAAATTGATATAATTTTTATACTGGACGTACATTTCTTTTTACAGCGACGCGGAACGAATGAGAGAGAAACAACTTAAGAAACAGCAGGGTGAACCAGCAGATAAGTCGAAGCAGGCAGCGAGATAATTCGACGCGAAAAGTGTATAAATTTTTATGATAAGAACGGCTATATCACGTAACCAATGGCTACGCTAAAAAGATTCATGACTGTAAGATACATATATGTCGATGAGTACCGGAGACAGAAAAATGAATCACTATGTCTTTGATGTTAGAGAATTTTTCCATTGTCGGCCGTACGCAGGTATGTCAATCGTATGACATACCTCAGGACCTAGCCTCAATTATCTTGTTATTTACACGTTGCTCACGATACAGTTATAATCAGTGTGTACAAACTTGACGTTACCTACACCTAAATTCAGTCAAAGACAATACACGTTTGACTGGTTTCTCTAGGTATAAGGATATTAAATAATACGATATATTTGTAGTACTAATTTCCAATATGTAAAAATTCAGACTTTCACTTATTTAATATGTTATGTAATTAAATGTAACAAGCGAACGATCATTAGACACACATGTGTTACTATTGTTCCTTCTCGCTTGTAATAAACTGTTTAAATTTTAACACAATACAATACTTGTATAATTCTTAAATCTTTCGTCCTATCCGAATTAATGATATATGATGCGAACTGTAATGATATCGCTATACTATGATAAATCAGCAGTTGTTATATCAGTATGAGTTGTTGTATCAGTTGTTGTTAGTTTAATAATTTTTATATAATTAAATCTAAGATAGTTTAATAATTTTATATAATTAAATCTAAATTATTAAACGATGAGAGAAAAAAATGGAGTTTGTACAATCTTATTTCCCACATTTTTATTGCACTTTCCCAAAAAGAGTACATTTTTCTTAACGTACTAATTTTAATCGCGTTTTCATAATTTCGCTTTAATCACAAATATTCGTGGATATTAACATTGAGTTGAATGAGAATGGTGTACAATGTGATTCGATAAATGTTATAACGGTGGAAGACCGAACCTTAATTGCTAATATGGAGAGAGAGGAAAAAAAGAAGGTACACTATACTAAGTGACGAACGTATTGTCTAGCCTCTAAAGACCAAAACCTTCGTTAAAGTAGCATCTGGATCTCTGCAATCTGGGAAAATGTCGAAATCCAATTCTTTTATTTTCGAGTGGCTATTGTATTTCAGATTTAATAGGCTGTACTTTTTCGCGTTCTATAACACATCTATAAGCAGGAACGTTCCACTCGTTTCTTTTTTTTCTTTGTTTGACTTCAAGTTTAGTAATATGCGAGGAACAGCGCACTATATTGAGCATTCACTTAATTATAATAGTATACTATTAATATGAGATAGATTCATTTGAAGAATTTACATGTGATACTTTAATATTACGTTACATGACGTAGAGAATCCATATAACGTAAAAAATTGCCCTTTCAGATGTATTCGGCTATTGAATAAAACTAATACACGCGCGCACGCGAGTTGGTATAGATTATATATTTATATAAAATAGAGACATGTGCGATCTTTTGCCGATTTTTTTTCACTCACAATTAACTTTACAATGTAGTTAATTTGTATTTCCAGTTTTGTTGTTTTCATTAATGACTTAATTTAAGATAATAAGAAGCTGTTCTTTCTTGTAAGTAAAAAATTGATATTAAAATATATCTGTATTAATACATATTCTGTGTATTAATTTATTTCTGTTAAATTCAACAATTGAGTTAAAAAAATGCTTGATGCTTTTATTAAGGAATTTAATTGTCTTCGATATAAAATTTAATTAACATATTAAACTCGTTACTATTTAAATTGAGTTTCGACTCTGAGCCTTATAATAGTGTCTCAAGTTCCATAATATCTTAATAATAATACAATTATCTAAAAATGGGCGGCAAAATGTTGCTTCTATTCCTCCGTCTTTCCGTTAAATGGTCAATGTCTTTACAAAATTCTCCGTATACACATGCAATTTTTATAGTAATATAATATTACAGTAAATATTATCTTATATATCTATTTTCGATGATGCAATGTTTCTTCTTGCATGAACAAATATAATCGGTAATGTGATAATTTTAGGACAAAAATTTGGAAAATTCTGAAGGAAAATTATATTTAAAATTGTAGCATTATGGAAAAAATACCGATAGAGCTTATTTAGTTAATGTATTTGTATGTATGTGTGTATTGCGACTTATCATTACAACACTATATTTGTAACAATAGCACCATATTTATATTATGCATAGATAAATTATATTTTAGAAGTTGAACAAATTTATGCATATGTAACATGTTGTTTGTCTGTTATGTTTGGAAAAAAATTATATCACATCGATTCTCTTAAAATATTAAAATATTAAAAATTGCAAGTAAGAATCTATTTTAAATTTGATAAGTCTAATCACGTGAATGTCCATAGCATCTCTTTACCGCGCATTATATAATTAATTATCTAATTAAATAATAAGAAATGTTTTGTACTTTAAAATTATTTTCTGTTTAATACGTAATATAGCAAAGGTTCAAATCTCATTAATTTCTTAATTATATATATGGAGATCCTAAAAATCTATTAAAATTTGCATAAGTCACATAATTTAGAACAAAACTGAAAAAATTGCATTGAAAAAATTGAATATTAAACAGATATTTTTCTAACAGTTTGTACACGTAATAAATTTCAGCAAGTAAAAATATATTTAAGCCAGAGATTTTTTTCCCTCGGAAATATAATTAAGTATAGTGCCTTTAAACATTTTTAAAAGGTGTGTGTGTGTGTGTGTGTGTGTGTGTGTGTGTGTACATATATATATATATATTATATATATATATATGAAGTCTTCCGCGAGAATATTTTTATTATAGCTCATATAACGCAAAGTACGTCTCAAGTGCATTTTGTGCTATTTACTAATTCCAAATGTACATTTTGCAAACTAGATCGAATCTGTTTATCGAAACGAGTAATACATCATAATACTTGGGAAAGTTTTGTCGTGATAATTTAACAAAATCGCTTACATATCTAATTCCAATCTATATCTATAAACAATATATTGTACGCTAATACCTAAACGTGGTGAGAATACGAAACTGGGACATATATTTCTTTCATTTTCCATTTATATATGGAATGTATGCATATCTTGTGACGAATCGAGTGAACTTTAATTCGTTTTGCAAGTTTTTTTCTTTAAGACGATGTTTTTTAAAAGTTTAATAAAAGGATCCTATTCTCTTCCGCGTAATACTTATGCGAGTACCTCCCTGCAATTTTTTAAATATTTTTAAAAAGAAGATTTTAAATATTTTGAAAGAAAAATAAATATTATGCAAACAAGATAACAATTTTATTTTCGGACAATGTAATTGACTTATTTATAAATTCTATGTTGGATTGTTATTTGGACGGCGAAAAATAAAGAGAGATAAATTGATCTATCCCTCACGTTCGCGATTGGCCGTTTTGGATTTAGTTTTTCGTGATTCCACGTAAAGCACGGATGAAGCATAAAGATAAAAATAAGCAAAATGAAGAAAAATAGATTCTTCGACAAAATTAACTAAGTTACTTGTCTACACAGATCATCGCTTCCTCGAAGGACTCGATGAAAAAAAAAGATACAATCTGCACTATGCAATGTTGGAGGTATCGAGTCTTTCGAGGAAACGATTGGTTCCAGGGGACTGGAAAACGAAGAGATTTCGGGGACTCGCACAGAGTTTGCAGACTTCATCTCATATCTAAAGATTTCTAAAGATTCAGAGAACATATCGTGCAAGTCTGGGCAACGCAATGCGAGTGCAGATGCGACGATTGCGATGGATGCAATGGCGGGGGCGGCGGAGGTGGCGGCGGAGGTGGCGGGGGTGGCGGAGGTGGTGGCATGTAAAGCCACCCCGTGCCCGTTGGCCAAACCGCGGACGATGCTGAGGACGTCGGAAGCAGTGAATTGGTACCGCCTCCAGCATTGACGTGTGACGTCGGTCCACTCTCTACTCACATCACCTATGAAAATAAGGCGATGAAACATAGTTCATTAATACATTTCTTGATCGTCGCTCTATTGGTTGTAAGATTTAACAGGATTATAGCATTCGATTGTTCTATAGAATCTTTAGTTTTTTCAACAGTTTTAACTTCTGGACGTATAAAAGCTGTAGCTTTTCATTTCAGCATAAAGTACAGACCTGTACGTATGCAAACATGAGGAAAATTATAATTTGCAAAGATTTTTATCATAGTAATGAATAAATATTGTAACATTTGCAACTCAATATTTCTATCTTATGCAAAATTAATATAGTGTTACGTCGTCATTAGATCATATAAAACCTTTGACAAGAAACTTGATATAAATTTTAAAGTTACAAAATTATACAGTATAAAGCATTTAATATTTAATTGATAACAATAACAGTGATTTAATAACGCACTTTTTGGTACTTTAATAATAAATAATTTCATAGAGAAAAAAACATACTTTGTTCATTCTGTACAAGGTTTTTAGTATTTATCTTGCCAATTGAAATTATAATTGTAAAAAGCTAGAGAAATATTTAGTTTGCAAATAGCAGTCCATTGGAATAAAGTGCAAAAAACAATTAGCCTGATTGTCAATTATTCTCTATCCGCAGCTACTTCGTATAGCCTATATGACGTAATGAATAGTTTCACGAATGATCGTAATTACGAATAACAGTAAGATAAGAGTATAAGACGACTTGAGTATGCTATTGTCACGCAATTAATTATGAGCGCGTGTATAATCTGACAATCGATCGTTCTGACAAATTAAATTATTGTATTACAAATGCAAGAACGTTATAAAACATCAAACTGTCAATGTAAGATCATACGACTTTCGCACGTTTGGTCTTCGCGAAGATTGAGATTCAATCGCGGTATTGGTATCGATAATTATTCGAATTTTCGTTCTGTACGCAATTACGCACAAATATAATTGATTTATAAACTTTACCACGATATTACGATATATGATATATTTACAATATTTGATTACCGTTAATTTTGACGCTCTGCGTCAATTTCGGTAGTCACGATTTCGCGTTTAGAATAGAAATATACGTACCTGTAATATCTGGCTTGCCTCGAAGGCCGTTCCTGGCAATAATACAACCGGGCTACTGACATGTCCGCTCTCGACGCATATCATGTTAGGAAATTCGTCGTCGCCGAAGTCCGGGATGTCGCGCGCCTTCTCCTGCCAGGGATTCCAAACGACCGTGTCGGGAAAGTTGTACTTTTGCACGCGCATTTTCCTACCGGAAACGACATTCGTGATGATATGCTCCGGCTGCGTATTCTGATAGATTCGATCGGTCCATTCGCACACCGTGACGACGTCGCGGCCTTCCTGGTAAATTTGGTTGTCCCTAGTCTGTGCGAGTGAATGAAATACAACTTGTGAGACAGGCAGACAGGATTGCGTGCGGCCGCGATATGTAATCGCTTCGAACGTGCTCCGGACTTAACGGAGTATCGTACACACCGTTCTAAGTCGACTCTTTAACGACTAGTTTCTATATGTGTAATAATAGATCTTTTTGCGCAAGTTTTAAAATCGACTCTCCACTGGTAAACGCTGAGTCATTAATAACCAGGTAGTTAAGATTAATTGAAAATAAACGATTCTTTTCCGTGAGTCTTACAGTGAGTCTTACAGTAAAATTTCTAACGAAATCATATTCGATCAATTTATATTTTAATTAAATTAACGAATTATATTGGGTCATTTAAAAAGTATCCGCGGTTTTTTCATTCGAAAATTGAACAAAAAATCCGCGGATACTTTTTAAATGACCTAATATATAACTTGAAGACAGAGAAGAGGCTTACGTTACCTTGTCGAGGAACGTGCACCCGTGCAGTCCCGTAATTTGGCATCTTCTGACATCGGGTACTTTAAAATAAGTGTGTAAGAGCAGATTAAAGGAGAAAGGATCTTCTCTGCTCGGGTTATATACGCCAATATTAAAATGCAGCTCCTTCTCGCGCAATATTAGCCTGTATGTTAGCCTGAATTGTGAATTCCACAGCGATCGCGTGAATTCATTGTCCATTATCGAGAATATCGCCTCGATGTCCCCGCTGGGCAATCGCTCCGGCGTCTTCTCCACGTTCCAACGAATGATCCTGGCAAAGCCATGGGGTGGTCCGTACGTCCATGTTCCGAATTGTGCTGCGGAGATAACATGCATCGTATCGGATTAATCCCTTCGTTGTGTATGAGGCATATGTGTGCATACAAAAAAGACGTGCCATCAGTGTGTAATGTATAAAGGATAAGTTCGAAAAATTCTCGACCTGAACCACCAGAAAATGACGCCACGAATATTAAAATTGTTAAAATTTTAGACAAGTTTGATCTTTTACAGGTCTACTGTTAAAATTTCAAACAGATGCGTTCATTAGTTTCTTTGTTTCGGTCGTGTAAAGCAACCAACTTTTGGTTTTATCATGGCAATGCAACCGCTCACATTTCTTCAATTGCAGTCGCAAAATTTCCATGAATTGGTCCCGCAAGCACCGTATTTCATCAGGTTTCACGTGATCTGCTTGCTGCTTTACACGACCGTAATAATGAAACTAATGAATGCATCTGTCTGAAATTTTAACAATTTAGCCCTGTGAAGAATCAAACTTGTCTAAAATTTTAATCATTTGATATTTGTGGCGTTATTTCTGTTAGGCCGAGAACTTTTCAAATTACCCTCGTATGCACGTCTAAAAAAACCCACTTACCCTCTTGCGATTTGTCTGAATCTTGGTTTCCTATGGTTTCTGAAGTCGCTGAATATAATATCAGAATTTCAAAATTCAAAATGCGAATTCAATATAGCGGATAAAAATGTAAAAAGTAAATAAAGTGTTATAAAAATGAGTACTTCAAAATTGTTGAATGTCGCTAAATCAAAATACCAGAATTTCATTTTTCTAAATGACAGATCAAACTTTGCTTCACTTAACCCTTTCACTGTACACAAAAAACACGTGTCACCAATGTGTAACGTACCATATATATGCATCTTTAAAAAACTTTTTTATCCCCTCGCGATTTGTCGAAATCTTGGTTTCTTTCTATAGTTTTGTCGCTGAATTCGAATATATATAATATCAGAATTTCAAAATTTAAAATGGCGTATCCAATATGACAAATTTAGAAAAATAATGAAATTTTTATAAAAATGATTATGCTAAGGTTTTCGAGGTCGCTGAATTCAAATGTGACATCTAAATTTGTAAATTCAAAATGGTGGTTCCAGTATAGTAAATCAAAATTTGAAAAATAAATGAATTGTTATAAAAATGAATCCTACACACAAAATTGTTAAAGTTGCTGAATCAAAATACTAGAATTTTGTTTTTCTAAATGACAGATCAAATTTTGCTATACTTAAAAATAATAATTCATAACAAAATATATTAATTATATTAATAGAATAATTGTTTATAAATCCTGCTTTCCGCGCGCTAAACCTAAAGTCACGAAAAGAGAAAATGAGGTCGTAGCGAATTTTAACTACATGTTCTTATTTTTTATTAAAAAATATTTTAATTAAAAAAAATTGTTTTATTAATTTTGATGTGTTTTATGTTTTTTGAATTTTGAAATTTTAATATTATTTGAATTCAGTAACTTAAAAAACTTTAATACTGAAATTGTAGATACGGAAATCTGAGAAACTTTTTTTTTACACACTGATAGTACAAATCTTATTTTCACAAATCTTATTTTCGCTACACTACGAAGTAGAGGTGTAAATATATCGCTGCTGTTTTTACATGTTTTTTAAATTAGACTTTCAAATTTTCACGGTATTTCAGTTGGCTCTTTTTGCCAATAGTTTAGATTCGCGTATAAGATTGTCTTCGCTCTTTAAGTTTTGGTCAAATTATTTTCTTTTCTTTCCTATACAGTAAACATGATGTATCGCTTCATCTATTATACTTACGAAAGACGAACGGTATGCCGCCCCTAATCGCTTTCTTTCCGTCGAACACAGCTTGCTTACTGAAACACAAAGATCCAGTCGTTGGAGAATAAAAAAAAAATTGACAATCACATACTAGAAAGAATACTCGTTTATAAGTTTTATTATGACCATCTAGATATTTTGATCGTAATTCATTGTATGTTGCACGTATTACGTTTCCTATCTATTTCCCATCATTTAACAGGACAAATATCCTATGAAAAATCGAAGAAAATATATTATTTAAAAACGATGCGAGAATTTATTTGTTCGCGCGTTTTGTTTTTACGCTCAGATGCGAAAAGCGTAGGTATTATTATTATTCCCTGTAACAAAACAAAACAAAAAAAAAACAAAGAATCTTCGATTTGTCGATAACATTGAAAAATATGCGGACGAATATCTCTTCCTTCTGTTATTCGCAGCTATTGCATTGTTATTGTAAATTGCGCACGTATCAGATGTCAGATTAATGAAACTGTCTGTAGATATGCAGTGGGTGATGCATAGGTGTAAATATTTGTTATAACAAATTGACGATTTGTACTGACAATGAGAAACAGCAAAAATTCTAACAAGAAAGCGTCCAATAAAAAAAAGTCTATTTAATGCAACTTTTATTGAACTTTTAAATTATTAAAATTTCAGAGATATATTAAAAATGGAAAATAGTAACGATCGAAGAATGCTTCGAATAAATAATTCACTTTCGTTCCTCTTTTTGAGCTTTTTATTGTACATTCTTGCAGGCGCGGTTTAGACTCTCGTACGAGAGTTCCATCGGAGCTCCTCGTTTAACTAATTTACGAGGACCGCGTAGAATTTTACGATCGCGTATTCTGCTGAGGATAGAGACGACTTGCGTATAAATTGATGTATAAATAATACTGCGAGGGTGGTTCATAAAATTTGACGACAAACAGGTCAATATTGGTTTCGCGATTAATCTTGTAGGGTGATTGCTATATTGCGTCTTGCAAAACTATGAAGATCGACAAAATAGCGTTATTAATATAAGTTACTGTGCCTCGTTGATTTAGAGATGTATCGACGCTAATAAAAAAAATGCAGGGCCACGCTTTTATCATTCTTGCAGCCTGAAATTCTTGAAAAACGAGACAATATAGTCAGATCGATAAGCAATGCTTGGTTATATATGGCTTATATGGAATTTTTCTACAGAGAAAACAGTTTTACAACTAGCTGCATAGTTGCCATAGTTGAAGTATAATAAAAAAGAAGTTGAACATGAAAAGGTCAATAGAGAGTAACCAAGTTACTATCTCCGTAAAAAGAAAAAAAAAAGGAAAGATCTTTCATTCTTGGCCGTTTTGTTCCACAATTTTTTGTAAGGGCGCATATGAATATAACAATTACGATATCTCATTGTATAATACAGCTAAATACTTTGTAGACCTAGACGAGAAAGAATCCCTGAGAATTCGTTTCATCGTATATGAGGTTGGTTGGAACAGCTATAAAGAATGGAAAAAAAGTCTCTTATAGTATATATATATATACAAAACAGACAATTAGATTTTTTTTTGCACAGGTTTCCTAATTATCCCAACAGTCAATTTCGTAACAATACCATTTATCCTCACAATATTCTCACAATATTCTATAAGAATATTTAGACATAAAAACCGTTGAAATAAACTATTTGATTATTCGAAATATTTAAATAATATTATATAAAAAAAATAAGTTTATATAAATTTGTAAATTTTTTTCTCAGCTCTGAGATCATTTCGAGCAAGTTAGAAAACTCGTTGATCCCTTTCGTTAGCGAACTAGAACGCACTCGAAGCGGTTGATATCCCCGGTGATGCGAAAGAAGAGAGATGGAGATGTCGCGTTGCGTGAACATCATGGAGAGAGAAAAGGAAAGAGACGGAGAACTATAAAGACGGAGGGCGGATGCAGGATGACCATTAGTCAAGCCTGTC